GTAGAAGTACTGAGAGCAGGTACCACAGTAAGCCCAGACCACATATATTTGAGTTTCTGAAACTGTACAGGATTTGTGCTAACTCATTTGAGGATTCAAGTAAACTTGGGATGGTGGCAAGGAACAGTGTTGGTGAATCTGGATTAGATCTGGAGAGGCCGATGTGATACTTACCATTTTTACCCTATACTTCGGTACCATAATATTTATCTTAATCATTATTTTATAGTCCAAATTATTTCATATAAATCTTCACAAGTGCAGGAATTACATTGTTTCATTAGTGCCTCAAGAAATGTAAAATAAATAGTGATGTTCATTCATTCATTCATTTATTAATTTATGTAATAAACATGTATTAAATATTTGTCAGACATGTGCCAGGCATTGCACTGTGTGATGTTAACGTGTTTATCTCAGTGTCAAAATAATTTTATTTTGTGTAAGGCTTGTATTCTATAATTTTTTCCACATGACTGAAAATAAACTCTATTTTAGGAAAAGGTAGTTTAAAAATGAGAATGTAGAGGTAAAATCTTGAAACATTTAAAATATCAAGAAATTACAGTCAGCCTCCATGTCTGTGTGTTCCATATCCTTGAATTCAAAAATACTTGGATTGAAAACTTTCGGAAAAAAAAAGGATGGTTCCGTCTATACTGAACATGTACACACCTTTTTGTTTTTGGTCATTATTCCTTAAACAATAGAGTGTAACAACTATTTACATAGCATTTACATTTTATTAGGTATTATAAAGTAATCTAGAGATTATTTAAAGTACACTGGAGGATTATGCAGGTTATATACAAATACTATACCATTTTATATAAGGGACATGAGCATCTAGAGATTTTGATATCCATGGAGCTTTTCTTCTACACTACTTTTGCAACCTTCAGTGTCCAAAGATCCTTCTCCATGCCTGATCTCATCTTCATGCTTTCAACTGAAAGCCAGTTCTGTCTGTGTAAATGGATATGGAGGGATGACTGCATTTCTGATTTTAACCAAAACTTCACTATGTCCATTTTTCTGAGCATCCACAATTCTTGCATTTCCTATTCTGTCAAGTAAAGTGTACAGGAAGAACTTGAGTGCATAAAAAGTACAACACGTTAGTGTAAATAAAATAAATTCCCATATTGACTATAACAATTTCTTCTACGGCCCGTACATTTTCACACTTAGATAAAAAGAAAAGCACTTATAAATTTGTGTTAGGTTTATTTTTCTTCCTTTTTTTTCGAGACAGAGTCAGGCTGGAGTGCAGTGGCATGATCTTGGCTCACTGCAACCTCCGCCTCCCAGGTTCTAGCGATTCTCATGCCTCAGGCTTCTGAATAGCTGGAACCACAGGCATGCGCCACCACGTCCAGCTAAATTTTTTTTTTTTTTTTTTTTTTGTACTTTTAGTACAGATGGGTTTTCACCATGTTGGCCAGGCTGGTCTCTAACTCCTGACCTTGTGTGATCTGCCCGCCTCGGCCTCTCAAAGTCCTGGGATTAGAGGTGTGAGACACTGCTCCCAGCAGTTTTATTTTTCTATAAAGGATTTAGCAGGACAATGAATAATAGATTGTGGATGTCGTTGATTGTACACAATTTTTGATTTTTAACCTACAGTCCATTCCATACTTATCTATCCAATTATGCATGGTTAAACAATTGTTCCTGACAAAGGAAACTGTCTCCACCTATTTGCACACAGGTTAGCCATTCCAACCACACCTGCTCACTGACGCCCTCAGCATTTCCTGGTAAGTACACAATGTAGAAAGGGACTGAACTGCTTTTTTCTCTCTTCAAGGAAAGAAATTTAAAACATACTTAGCAGGCCAATGCTCAGACACAGAGATCTCAGATCCAACCAAGGGTAACAACCCATTTGAGGGTAGCCTGAATCTCAGGGAGTTTATGCTGACAGAGCTTGGCTCCACCTGGAAAGCTAGGCAATCAGAACCGCAGTCAGAACCCATTCTGGGGCTTCCATAGGAAACATCAAATCTGTCTCTGGTGAGTAACACTGGGAGAGGCTTTAAAATGAACTAGGATAGTCTTATTATCAAATGAACTATTTTCTTGAGAAAGAATAACGAATGAGTTCGAATTTTAGGAACCACAGTTGGTCTAGTTCTTGCTCCCAAAGAATTCTGTCCAATGTAAAATTTTGGAAACTAATACGTCACTTTTGGCATGTTGTGAGTGTATTGCTCATTCAGTGTCATAAATTGAGTCTTGAATTATGGAGCTTTCTTCTACACTACTTTTGCAACCTTCAGGGTCCAAAGATCCTTCTCCATGCCTGATCTCATCTTCATGCTTGCTACTGAAAGTCAGTTATTTCTGTGCAATATTTTGCAGAAACTGAGAGGCCCTTAAATGCACAAAGAATCATTTGTTGTCACCAAATGTAAAAGAATCATGGACTCTTCTTCCATGTTCTAAATCTAAGATGATTTAGAGTTCATTTAGTCCAGCCTCTTCGTTATAAGAATAATAATGTCTCCTTCCACATGGGTAGCAGACATGTTTTTGCCCACCTAGCATTCTTTCCCTCTTTTTCAGGTAACACCACCTCATTTTTTCTTTTGGGTAACTTCTCTCCCCGCACTGTTATTCAAGAATAACAGATTATTCCACATCTGTTACTCAGATGGGGCTGATTCTAGCTCCAGAGGAGGGTCTAAAGAGAGTACCCATTCCCTGACCACAGTTATTGCTTCAAGAATGAGCACTTGTTCCGGGTTTGGCCAATGAGAGCAGCCTAATTTGATATCATTTCTGATGCCTGTCGCCAGGACTATGCTTAACACACGTACAATATTTTCCACTGAAAGCTTAAGGGACATTTCAAGGTCATAGCAAGTCATTCAGATAGCCAAGATCTCCGGATACCTTCCCGTTGTGTAGTGGGGAAAGAGATACCAACAGATAATTTTGGTAATACCTTAAGAGCATACATTCATTCAACAAATATTCATTGAGATGATGAACACTACCAGATACCTGGTTCCATGGTGGGTGCTCAGGATGGAGTTATGAATGAAACAGTCATGATCTCTGGATGTCCCATGATGCAGCACGTGTGACAGTGCACAGGACGGCCATGTAAACTACCCTGGATATATGTTTGTGGGTATCCAGAAAGACTTCCTGGAGAAAGGAACCAGCCTCCTAAATCTCTCTGAATCTATCCTCCTTTCATTTTTTTCCTCATCCTCACAGCTACTGTCTCAGTTCAGGCCCTCTTTATTTCACATCTGAATTACAGCAATAACATTCCAACTGAACATCACACCTCTACTCTTACCCTGTTTTTACCAAACTCACTCGTTACTAATGACATAATTTTTTCTTAGAAACTTTTTTCTAAAGTATAATATCCACCAATAAAAGTACATATGTAAGCATACAGTTTGATGAATTTCCTTAGCCAAACACACCCATTAACCAGAGCCTACATTAACAAACACAGTCAGCGTTCCGCAGCCCCCCCTCCATGTCCCCATCCATATAGTCAACCTCCTCATACATAATAAAAATAAGAATTCGTTTTAAAAATGAATATCGCTTCCTTCCTTTGTTAAAGCCTTCCAAGGACTTTCTTGACAGTCTGCAGGATAAACCCCAACTCCTTTGCCAAACTATTGCCTAGTAATTCCTCGCCTACTGTCCCAGTCTTCCCTGCCTGGCCTCTGCAGTGCTGCTCCCTCTGTGGGAACTAACACCTCAGCCCTCTTCCTCTGCATTGTAATGATTCCTAATTATTGCAGGAGCCACCTTCTCAAAGCCTTCCATGATCCCTTCCCTCCCCACTATCTGTTTCTCTTGTAGATTTTTGAAGGTAGCAACGGTGTTTTCCATTTGTTTCCCAATTTGTTAAATGATTAAGTGAGTAAATTTATTAATTTCCCATAACTCCTTTCCTCCCTTTCCTTCCCCACTACTCTACCAATGGCTCTTTTAAAAGAACAACAATCCAGCCCCCTGTGAATGTTGTGCGTGTATGAGATGCACAATGATCACGTATGACCTTCAACCAGCAGTCTGCGAAGTCATGACTGGTTTCCATTGATCCAGCCACACCTTACTGCCTAGTATCCGCTCCTCCCACACCAAATAAGGGTACAGTAGGGGCAGTTTGTGGTCTCAACCCTACCGAGGTAAGAGGGCACAAAGAAAATTGATATGCACGAGACCTCGGGCATTCTTCAGGTAAAAAGATGGCTTAATTGGAACATTCAGAGGCTTAAGAGAAAATCGGGAGTGGAAGAATGAAGCGATCAAGCAGGGTAATATTTCCGAAATGCCTACCGGCCATGTGCCAGACAAAATGTTTGGCTCTATCTGTAATGTCTTATTTAACTGAAGTGGGAGAAGAACGTGAATGAATGGCTGGATTCCTGAATTGCATAAAAAGAGAAGCCAATACACTTTTTCCTTTATTTGGTTGAAACAAGTTATTTGTGCATTTATAGCTTTTTCTTTTAATTAAAAGTAAGAGTGGAAAACTCACTGAAATGTCTAATTTCAAATAAAATATTTGATTTCTAATTTCTGTTTTTCAAACAAACAAAAAAAACCCCGAAGCATTATGAAAGGTTTTACTGTGTAGGAGGAAACGTCACTAGGTTGATGGGCCTAGCCAGAACACCTAACACCCTTCAACTAGCCTCCAAACTGAGGCTGTGGCCCTGCAGAAAGAGCCACTTGAAGCCACTTTTATAGAAGCTTTTACGCTGTATACTTGATTTTTTTTTTTTTTTTTTTTTTTGAGATGGAGTCTCGCTGTGTTGCCCAGGCTGCTGGAGTGCAGTGGCGTGATCTCAGCTCACTGCAAGCTCCGCTTCCTGGGTTGACGTCATTTTCCTGCCTCCACTTCCCGAGTAGCTGGGACTACAGGCGCCCGCCACCACATCCGGCTAATTTTTTGTATTTTTGGTAGAGACGGGGTTTCACCGTGTTAGCGAGGATGGTCTCGATCTCCTGACCTCGGGATCCTCCCGCCTCGGCCTACCAAAGTGCTGGGATTATAGGCGTGAGACACCGCGCCCGGCCTATACTTGATTTTTAATGAAAACATTCTTAGTAATAAATTCGTATGGCTAACCCAAATTTATTTTCTGTAGGCATAATATCAAAAACACCTGGCAGGATTGCCCCATTCCCAGCACTGTCCATTTCTCCCCTAATATCAGTGGGACTCCACTGATGCACAGTTGTGATCTACTAAAACTTCTCTCAAAACTGCCTCCTCTCCTTAGGTCAGCAGCCCCGCCCCTGATCTATTTGGAAATCCCCTGAATAAAAGTTGAATATCATAAACCAAAGCCAAAACCCAGAAATTCAAATTCAACCGGTAGGTAAAAAGTCTCAAGTGACAGTAGACGTAGGTGTCTCCAGTGTCGCCTCACTAATAAAGTAGAAGAGGCCAGTGCAATACTGCCTTCATACCCTTAACTTGGGTGCTCGAATATTTATCTTCGTCATCATTTTATCATCCAAAGTATTTTACATAACTTTCATGGGTGCAGACATTGTTTAAGTGCTTGGTAAAATTAATAGTGATGTTCATTCATTCATCTCACTGAACGGACAATAAATTCCTTGACGACAAGGGCCTGGGGGGCCACATCTTCATGCTTGGTTTATGAGTCCTGTGCGTCTTGGTACAAGCAATACTACTATGAGCCGGTAAGTCAAACCTATTTGTTAGGGAACCAAAGGAAAGAACATGTTTTGATAGCTAAGAAAACATTTTGTTCTCTATCCTTTACTAGGCTGGCAGGCAAAGGGAATGTTCTTATGAGCACTCACATTGAAAACAAGTTTCACGAAATGCACAGACTCTGAAGGCCGTGCCGCTGGGGGCTGCCTCCACAATCCGCCCATCTCAGCGGGCCATGAGGTCCTGGCCACGGACGCGGTGGCCGAGCCTCTGCTCATACGTTCAACCGGCCTCTGGACTCGCTCCCTCCCTCAAACCCTCCCTCCGGCGGGCGGGTGGCTAGGCCCAACGGCAGGAAGCCGACGCGGATCCTCCGTCCTGCGGCGCCGGGTCCGCCTTCCGTCTGTTCCAGCGCCTGCTCCTGCGCGGCAGCTGCTTTGGAAGGTCTCGAGCCCCCTGTACCTTCCCAGGGATGAACCGGACCTTCCCTCTGAGAGGCGAGGGTTCGGGCCACCGTGAGCGAGGCGCGGGGCGGTGGGCGCGCGCAGAGGGAAAGCAGATCAGCTGAGAGAGAATAGGAGTAGTGGATGAGGCGCCTGTGGGGCGCGGCCCGGGAGCCCTCGGGCGCGGGCTGGGAGAATGAGTGGGCGGAGGCGCCGCAGGAGGCTCCCGGGGCCTGGTCGGGCTGGCTGGGCCCAGGGCGCAGTGGAGGGAAGGGACGGGCGGCGCCCGGTTGGGCGTCCTGGCCAGCTCACCTTGCCCTGGCGGCTCGCCCCGCCCGGCACTTGGGAGGAGCAGGGCTGGGCCTGCGGCCTTTGGATTCCGGGACCGCCCCCTTCCATTCCCGGGTCAGCGGCGAGCTACAGCGACGGCTGGAGTCGCAGCTGCAGCATGAGAGCCGGTGCCGCTCCTCCACGCCTATGGACGCGTGGCGAGCGGAGGCAGCTCAGCCTGTTCTCGCCATGGGGGCGCCGTGGGGTTCACCGGCGGCGGCGGCGGCGGCGGCGGGCGGGCGGCGCGGGTGGCGCCGAGGCCGGGGGCTGCCATGGACCGTCTGGGCGCTGGCGGCCGCCGGCTTGACGTGTACGGCGCTGATCACCTATGCCTGCTGGGGGCAGCTGCCGCCTCTGCCCTGGGCGTCGCCAACCCCGCCGCGACCGGTGGGCGTGCTGCTGTGGTGGGAGCCCTTCGGGGGGCGCGGCAACGTCGCGAGGCCGCCCCCCGACTGCCGGTTGCGCTTCAACATTAGCGGCTGCCGCCTACTCACCGACCGCGCGTCCTACGGAGAGGCTCAGGCCGTGCTTTTCCACCACCGCGACCTTGTGAAGGGACCCCCCGACTGGCCCCCGCCCTGGGGCGTCCAGGCGCGCAGTGCCGAGGAGGTGGAACTGCGAGTGTTGGACGACGAGGAGGCAGCGGCGGCGGCAGAAGCCCTGGCGACCTCCAGCCCCAGGCCCCCAGGCCAGCGCTGGGTTTGGATGAACTTCGAGTCGCCCTCGCACTCCCCAGGGCTGCGAAGCCTGGCAAGTAACCTCTTCAACTGGACGCTCTCCTACAGGGCAGACTCGGATATCTTCGTGCCTTATGGCTACCTCTACCCCAGGAGCCACCCCGGCGACCAGCCGTCAGGCCTGGCCCCGCCACTGTCCCGGAAACAGGGGCTGGTGGCATGGGTGGTGAGCCACTGGGACGAGCGCCAGGCCCGGGTTCGCTACTACCACCAGCTGAGCCAACACGTGGCCGTGGACGTGTTCGGCCGGGGCGGACCCGGGCAGCCGGTGCCCGAAATTGGGCTCCTGCACACAGTGGCCCGCTACAAGTTCTACCTGGCTTTCGAGAACTCGCAGCACCTGGATTATATCACCGAGAAGCTCTGGCGCAACTCGTTGCTCGCTGGGGCAGTGCCGGTGGTGCTGGGCCCCGACCGTGCCAACTATGAGCGCTTCATGCCCCGCGGCGCCTTCATCCATGTGGACGACTTCCCAAGTGCCTCCTCCCTGGCCTCGTACCTGCTTTTCCTAGACCGCAACCCCGCGGTCTATCGCCGCTACTTCCACTGGCGCCGGAGGTACGCTGTCCACATCACCTCCTTCTGGGACGAGCCTTGGTGCCGGGTCTGCCAGGCTGTCCAGAGGGCTGGGGACCGGCCCAAGAGCATACGCAACTTGGCCAGCTGGTTTGAGCGGTGAAGCCGCCCTCCCCTGGAAGTGACCCAGGGGAGGCCAAGTTGTTACCTTTTGGTCCTCTACTGTGCATCTCCTTGACTGCCGAATCGTGGGAGTAAGTTCTTCAAACACCTATTTTTGCTCTATGGGAAAAAGGCGATTTTACCAATGAATATTACTCAGCACAGAGATGGGGGCCCGGTTTCCATATTTTTTGCACAGCTAGCAGTTGGGCCCCCTTTGCTGTTGATGAGCATCATTGTTTAGGGGTGAAGGGGGGGCTCTTCTTCACCTCGTAACCAGTGCAGAAATGAAATAGCTTAGCTGCGAGAAGCCGTTGAGGCGGTTTCTCTGAATTTCCCCGTCTGCCATAGGCCGGATTTGTGGCCCGTGCAGCCTCCAAATCTCATACACACTGTTCCCGATTCACATTTTTCTGGACCGAGGTGAAGCAAATTTCTGGTTGTAGAAGGAGCCTTGTTGGTGGAGAGTGGAAGGACTGTGGCTGCAGGTGGGTCTTTGTTGTTTGGATTCCTCACAGTCTTGGCTCCTGAGAAAGGTGAGGAGGGCAGTCCAAGAAGGGCCGCTGACTTCTTTAATAAGTACTATCTGTTCTCCTGTCCTGTGAATGGAAGCAAAATGCTGGATTGTCCTTGGAGGAGAGTTAAGGTGAATACATGGGTGCACCTCACTTTACATAAGAAATGTATTCCTGAAAAGCTGCATTTAAATCAAGTCCCAAATTCACTGATTAGGGGAGTTCAGTATTTAATGAAACCCTATGGAGAATTTATCCCTTTACAATGTGAATAAGCATCTCCTAATGTTTCTTCTGTCTTTATGTTTTTCCATAACCTGGATTTTTTAAAGGCATATTAAAATTACAGATGTGAAAATAAAGCAGAAGCAACCTTCTTCCCTCTTCCCAGAAAACCAGTCTGTGTTTACAGACAGAAGAGAAGGAAGCCACAGTGTCAGTTCCACACGATTATTTATTTCATGTCTTGACTGGACCTGAAATTTAAACTGTAATGCCAGTCCTGCAGGAGTGCTGGCATTACCCTCTGCAGAACAATGAAAGGTATTGCACTACATTATGGAGTCCTATAAAAGAAAAAAAAGTTTCATGATGTCTGTTAGTGGCAGTTTTATCTCTGTCAGTTTTTAGTTAAATGTTTAGATCCTCGGCGCTACATTAGTGCCTACTATTAACTTACTCTTGTCTCTTGTGAAAGGCTAAATCTGCACTTCTCCCTGGTGCCAGCAGGTTCCCCTCGTAGTCAACGTAGTGGTATAGCATATCCTCACATTTCCAGTGCCCTTGGGACTGTGCTGTGGAACCAATCTTGAACATACGTGCATTGATTTGACAAAGTTACTGAGTAAGCAGCATATTCAGCAGGTGCCACTACATAACTACTCTGTGCCAAACACTGAGCTTGAGGCCCTAGGGAAGATAGAGAATTATACAAGGCAAAGTTCTTCTCTTTAGGGCGCTTATTATCTGTCACTTCCAAAAAGTAAACGCGACTGATAAAACAATTGGCAGAACCTGTTTGATTACTGTGATAGTCTTAATGATACCATAAATCAATATGAGAAAGCTAGTTGACTTAAAGCCTGAAATAATGGGAGTTTTCTCCTCCTCTCATTAGAATAAGGACCCTCAGTGACTAATTATTGTGGATAGGGTCAAGATTAACTAGTTTTATACAGAGTTCTGCTGTAAATAGTCATTTTGCATTTGATTAGTGCAATTAACTGAATCAAAAAGCAAGTTTTACCTCTCTGTACATGTTTTTGCAGACATACTTGAAAAATTCACTTAAATCTAGGTGCTTCAGTTCACTTTCTTGAGAGAAGAAATGAAAAGCTTTGGAGAAAATGTCCTCATTGAAGTTTTATAGTGAGGGCAGAATTACAATTACAAAGTGCCAGCCACTGAATAAAGATAAAAGTTCAGTTCTTAAAATGAGTTTTTATGAGATAACAGTCAGTGATCTTGATGTTCCTGGGATTCTACATGGGGCAGTGGGAAAGAGTTAGGTTTTGAAGGTAATGTAGGTTAGATCTGAATTCCAGCTATGTGGCATTGGGTAAATCCGTAGTAGCCCTGAGCCTCAGCTTCCTCATCTGTAAAATGACTGAGGAAAATACTTCACAAGCTCATTTTGAGCACTTTAGGAAGTGAAAGTACCTAAAATAGCAGGCACCCAACTGATGATTTTATATCTTCCTTCTTTGCTTGCATTGATTTCAGGATATCCTTTTACCATTTATAGGTCTAAAATTATATCTCAAGGTATGTTGTACAATAAATCTAAAATAAAAAGGATGGTGCCTCATATCATGTATTTTAAATGAGTCCCTAAGGCTAAGCCATATTTCAAGAATCATGATTACCATTTAGATTAAGCTGGACTTGCAAACTAGGAAGAAGCACCTAGGCTTTCTTTGAATATATTTTGTTTGTTTGTTTTTGTCAAGCTCTATAGTTAAATTAGTATCATTTATTTTACCAATTTTTTTAGTATTAAGTCCATTTAGAACTAACCATATTATTTATGGAATATTTAGCATGAGGAAGGTATAATTGCATTTTATTTATTTATTTTTTTTTGAGACGGAGTCTCTCACTGTCACCCCGGCTGGAGTGCAGTGGCATGATCTCGGCTCACTGCAACCTCCGCCTCCTGGGTTCAAGCGATTCTCTTGCCTCAGCCTCCCGAGCAGCTGAGACTACAGGCACTCGCCACCACGTCTGGCCAATTTTTTGTATTTTTAGTAGAGACTGAGTTTCACCATGTTGGGCAGGCTGGTCTTAAACTCTTGACCTTGTGATCTGCCTGCCTCAGCCTCTCAAAGTGCTGGGATTACAGGTGTGAGCCAGCGTGCCCAGCCATTGCATTTTTACTCACATACACGTTGTTAATATGGAAAAATGTGTTAACACTAATCTCATCAGAGAGTAAGATAAATGTGGCAATTGCTCATTTTATTTTGCATATATTAAATTGAGTAGGTTCAGCTCTAACATACCTTAAGAAAAATGCGTATCAGTGCACTGTATGTATTTCAGAATGCCTTTCCTATGATTGTCATATCCTACTTTAAGGCTTTTCCCTCAAATTTATTACAAATTTAGTATTTTTAGTACTTGATGACTCTAATTACATGAATGCACCTGGAATGACATTTGTATCAGAAGACAGTCTGACTTGCTTTCAGTATTCACAAGTTCTTTCCAGTTTCCAAGTCTTTCCCTAGCAGTAATTCAGGGGAGAGAGGGGAGTTTCATGTAAAGAGCGTGCAGTTTGGAGTCAGAACCTGGGTATGTGACTCTGTGGCCTTGATGAAGCAAGTTATTTAAACTCTTGAGTTTCAGCTTTCTCCTTTATAATGCATGAATGCCCATCCCCCTACAAAACAAAGATTGATGATGTATGCCAACGTGCTTTGTATATTATAAAGTGCTATATAATTATAAGATGTTCTAAATTTTCAAGGATCTAAACCAGGGATTGGCAAACGTTTTTCCAGAGAGTAAATATTTCACACTTTGCATATATAATTTATGGAGGTGTTGAGAGGATAGATTAGACACTTGAAGTACTCAGGATAGTGCCTGGCATGTAGGAAGCACCTGGAAAATATTCGCTGTGATTACCATCAGTCCATTTTACTGGGGAAGGAGCCAAGGTCCAGGCCCACTGAAGGACGTGCATAAGATTACAGTAGCAGTGGCAGAACCAGCCATGCTTGTGCAAATCACAACCCCTTTGAGCCTCTGTCACCTGAACTGCAAAATGAGTGGGTTAGACAAAATCATCTCTTGGGACCTCCTAGTTCCACTTGCTGTCATTCTACTAACTGGTACCCTAAGGTTGAAAGTGCTAATCTGCTTTCCAATGTGGCTTTCTTACAGTCTGGAACTGACAATATGCAGGAGCAGTAAACTGGTAGAAAACCAGGAATCAAAGAAAATATGATTTACCTTCAAAGATGTAAATTACATATATAGTATACTATATATTTTTTTAAAGCATTATATGCCTCAGATATCAGGGAAAGGAGCCAAGTCCTTGGTATTTAGTTTGGTGAATACTTGCATTGAATACATGTCAAGATGTCATTTTTGAATGTGTCTCAGGGATTTGTATGCTACAGATTATTTTAACAAATCAAATGTTTATGTACACATGTTCAGATTTTTTGACAAAATGATTAAAATAATGAGATGGAAAATGACTCCTTGTTTATAATGTATATCCTCCATGCACTAATGTGTTCAGTCCTCACCCGTGGGATATTTCTTGGCTTGGGGCAGTTTCTGTAAGTTCACTAGTTCTAGACTGGTAATTGGAATGTGATGGCTTTGCCTCTTCTGTGTTGCACCAAGTCCAATTCAGCTTGTCCTCTTGTTCTTTCTTGCCTGTCTTTTCCACTTTATTCTGAGGAATCATCTCCAAGGGCATAAGTAGTATACTCCTTTCTCTCAGTCCAGTTTATTTTACTAAGTGCTCTGATGTGATGCCCTCCATGTATTGTCTCTAGCTCTAAATGCCATAAATTAATGCCATTTTAAAAAGAGTGGGATCAGAACTGGGAACATGATGATGGGCAGACAGAAGGGGAGGCAAGCTTTCTTCTTAACAGCCAATGCTCAAATTATTGAAATAGGAAAATATGAAGTGGTAATAAACACTAACTATTGTCTCTTCTTTCCTACCTGCCCTCCTCCAACGCCACACACACATGCACGCACACACATTCTGACATGTTCTTTTAAGTACAGACTTTGAAAAATGATGATGACCAGCTGAAGCAGGACTGGCAAGAAAAAAGGACTCAATAATGAATGAGTAAAAAGAAAAGTGCATTATAAAATAGAGCAGGTGGTGAATATAGATGGGGAGTGAAGAGAAAAAGAAAGATGGGGGTGGGGGTAAAAGTACAAAGTGAAGAGAAAGAAGATCAGATAGAAGAAAGGGAGAGGCTAGGAAACGAGAAAAGTAGAGGAAAGATAAGGGTTAAACGACAAGAGTGGCAGGACAAAGGAGAAACACATGCAGCAAGAATGAAGAAATGGGTTAAAATCCAACACTCTCTGCCACAATGCTGAAAAGAAACCTTTGCTCCAGCTCGAAACACAGCATCTGTTGGCAAATGGGGAGTGAAATCAAGAAGTCTGAACTCACTGACAGGGAAAGTCAGAAACTTAGCAAGAAATCACCTAACATTTTAGCAGAAATATAGAACTGACATGATTGATTCATGACAACAGATTCTTGAACTTGAATGAAAGTCCTTTTTTTCATCTTGGAAAATGCACATTCATGGCCATTTTTTCCTTCCTAGACAGTGTATTTTATCTGTATTCAATATTCACTTTTAAAGAAATCTACTTTGTTATATTGTCATAATCACCAATTTACTGTTTTAAAGAATAGAAGGCCAGGAGCGGTGACTCATGCCTGTAATCCCAGCACTTTGGGAGGCTGAGGTGGGTGGATCACAAGGTCAGGAGATCGAGACCATCCTGGCTAACACAGTGAAACCCCATCTCTACTAAAAATACAAAAAATTAGCTGGATGTGGTGGTGGGCACCTGTAGTCCCAGCTACTCAGGAGGCTGAGGCAGGAGAATGACATGAACCCAGGAGGCGGAGCTTGCAGTGAACCGAGATCAGGCCACTGCCCTCCTGCCTGGGTGACAGAGCAAGAAACTGTCTCAGAAAAAAAAAAAAAAAAAAGAGCGGAGGGAGGAATATTAAGGACTCTGGACATTTAATATGCTTTAGTAGTTTCCTGTAGAACTTTATTATAAAACTATTTCAAGGTCGGTCACGGTGGCTCACGCCTGTAATCCCAACACTTTGGGAGGCCGAGGTGGGCGGATC